AGTCCAATATCTACATATACATTTTTACAGGTTTTTTTTGCATTAATTCATTTGGATCCGGGTTTTACCCGGGTTTAACTCTATCCGGATCTTGGATAAGGAATTTCAGGAAGTTTGTAATAATTTCAATCCCTTATTTGGCCAATCATAAATCGCAGAATTAATTTTGTTAATATTACCTAAACTAATAGCCACATTAATCATACCGTAATAAATTTTATCTCTAATTGATTTCGAATATTTCCACAATCTAAACTAATTACTATCACATACCTTATCTCATCTATTGTTCCTAAAATCTTGCGTAAATCTCGATTTTAAAGAAACTAATTACTCTATATATATTTCGAAATTATTAGATTTGAATCCTTTCTTTATTTGAACGGTTTATCAAAATTATATTCCTATAATAGATTGTAAAACGTTAATGCAATATTACGAGAATATGAATTTAAAGGAAAATCTTTGATATTAATACTCCTAATAAATAGCCGATTTTAATGGCAAAAATCTTTCATATTAATGTTCTTAATAAATATGCATATTTTAACAATATATATGGATAGAAAAAATGAATATATAATAAAAAATATTTAATATATCAAATATAAAAAATACGTGTATATATATATATATATATCTACATATATATATTTGCAGGAGATTTTGATTTTTAATTCTAATGGGTCAGATTTTTGATCCGGTTTAAGTGTATTTGGATCCTAGATAACTATATTTTTGCACCCAAAATCTTTCAATTGGATCTTCCATTAATTATTTGCCTAAATAACTAACTGAATTTTATACCAATTTTATCGAAATTTTAGGAATATTAATCACTTACTTTTTCAAAAAAACGTTTTTTACTAAATATTTTAGTTCAATATTTTCTACATATATGAAATTTTAAAATTGCCAAAACCATGAGATACAATCTTTTACAATATTCTATCGTAACTATATTGTTACCATTTGATTTCTTAATCTTACCTTAAACATTTAAATCATTCATTTAAATCTATTTTGACGATTTAATAATACATAACACTATTAAATCGAAATAATGTCCTTATTTTCTGCAACTATTATACATGCAATCGAGAAAATATAGCAAATTAAAACAGATTACTAAACCTACGCTCCTATTAATGGTATATTCCTTTAACTAAATACTAAATCCTCTAGATTATTCTGTAATTGTGATATTTTTTTAAGATTGTATACTTGCTCAACAAGATTTTTGATGATCACTCACATCTTATTACACTACTATAAATACGTTTCATTTTCAGCAGCTATGAACACCAACTCCGAAAAGCAACTCTGTTATATCACCAACTCTATTATATCACCGTCCTTACAAAGGTACGTTGACTTCAGATTTGTTAATTGCTCTTGCATTTTTTTACCAACACAAGTCTATTGCTTAATTGGCTCATTGCTCAATCGATTTCATGTTTTTTTGTAGGCAAGTCATTGCAAAGGTATATGTGACAACGAAACCTATTATGCGTTTAATATTCCTATCTAAGTAGCATCTTTATTTTACTTTATCAACACTATATCATTCATAGAGGCATATATTTATAACCATTTGAAAAGAAATTTCTCCTACTTACCTTTTTATCCATAGATTGTGTTAACAGATGAGTCTTGCTTAATGAACCCCATGAGCCACGACTTTCAGATTTGAAAATTAAGTGTCACCTATGAAAGAAAACACATGTTAGTTTTCTATATTAAGAAAAGGATAATCAGATATGTTTGGAAGAAGCAAATGATTTCTTATTTTTGTGTAGGTGAACATTAATTAGTCTATACTGCTTTGCGTTTGTACTATCTTCGGTTGTAATTCTCTTAATCCATTGATCTTTTAGGGGTAATCCTAAATGATATGAGAAGTTGATAAAACAATTACTTTGATTAATTTTTAGATGAACTGAAATCTGCATCGAAGGAATACGGAATGGGAGATGATGCAACAATCAAAGAGGTTCTGTAAAAAAATGTCGACTCGGATAATCGTAAGTTAAAATAAAACATATTCTCTCTTTATCTTCTTCTTCTAAGGAAACTAACCTTTGTCCATGATGTTTTGCCTCTCTTTCAAGATGGTAGAATCAACTATGCTGGTGACGGTGACGGGAAAGCCTGCTGCCGGTGATGAAGCGGTTGCCGTCAAAGACGATGAAGAGATCCGCCGATCCTGAAGCTGAGGAAGACCCAGATCCGTCGCTTGGGAAATTCATCGAGCAGGTGTGATGCAGAGACGGCCCTTGCCGGTGATAAGCAGCCTAAACGGCAGTGATGAGTGGTTAACACTTCGGTGATGAAGGGATCAAGCCCCTGAGAGTAGAGATCACCTCTATTTCGCATGTCAATACTCTTATTCAATTCGGACCAGCCTTACTTCGAGAATTGCTGGAACTACCTTTTCCTCCGATTGGAACAGCTTACTCTTTCTCTGGGCACTTGACAACTCGGTACCTACTTCTGTTGGCTTGGCAAATCATCATCTATGAGATCTGGAAACTCGCATAGTTGAGAGCACAATTATGAATCGTATATCAGCTTTTCATCTTGCAATTTTTTGGCTTTCCCGTGTTTGATCTGCTTCTTCTTCGTTCATCATCTCCGAGGGAAGGGAATCCACCGTTACACTTTCCTCTTTATTTTAGGCTACTTTCACTACTGGGTTTCAATCTTTTATTGGGTTCAATTATAAAGGATAACTAGAATGGGCTTTTGTAACAACTACGGCATTCTTGCCTCTTTTAATTTTAATGCAACCAATTTAATAGAAGACAAAAAAAGCTCTCTTCCTTTTATTTGCTAATTAAAAATATAATCGAACAATCGAAACAAAAATATATTAAGAGAATGAAAAGTGGATATGAAAATTTAGGAGTAGTAGCCTTTTGTTTTAAGATTCTCAGGTCAAAAAAAAAGTGAATTATATGTTTTCATTTCTATATTTTAAAAATTGAAACCTAAAACATACTAATCGTAAAATGTATAATATATAGATATCTATATATACATTTAAATAACACAAAACAATAAGTTATATTTATAGATAATCTTCATAAAAATAAATTTCGATTTTTTAAAAAACATATATCTCCGCGGTGTACCGCGGGTTAGTTTCCCATTTCTATTGTAAATACAAAATTTACATATTAAAAACCCTATATATTTATTTCTATTGTAAATGCAAATCGAAAAATCCTATATATTCACTTCATCTTACATTCCAACTTCAATACGTTTTTAGTTTTTCTTTTTAATTATTTTAAAATTATAATTATAATGTGGTATAATATTATTATTAAACACTAAACAAAACAAACAATATTAACAAAACAACTATAACTTAAAATTTAAACTTTTTAGTTAAAAAAATCGTCCCCCGCGGTTTAAAATCTAAAGGAGGGAATCCTATACATCAATGCGAAATGAACTATATAATTTTCTATATCTCTATATTTTTAAAATTGAAATTAAAATATACTAATCCTATAATATATAGATAATATACATATCTATATATATATATATATATATATATATATTTAAATCAGAAAAACGATAGGATTTATGTAAAAGAAAAGCTTTAAAATAAAAATAAAAATTTATATTTAACAAAAATATAGGCCCGCGGTGTACCGCGGGTTAATTTCTAGTGATGTATTATAACAATTTGCATTTATCTCAAGATTCTATGTCTCTACCTACAAAATCTTTAACACAAATGATAAGATTGTTACAAAATTATACAAAACATTTGAAACCACGGGAAATTATTTAATACACAACAAACAAAGGAAAGAAAAAAACACACAATAGAAGTCGACAATAGCTTAATTAGGCCTGGGCATTCGGATTTCGGATCGGATTCGGTTCGGATTTATTCGGATTCGGATAATTCGGATAGGAGAGTTTATTATCCGTTTGGATTTTATGACTATTCGGATCGGATTCGGGTCGGATAGTATCGGATTCGGATCGGTTTCGGATCGGTTTTCGAGAAAAAAAAAACTAAAAATGTTTAATTTAAATAAAAAAAAATAGTTTAATCTTACTAAAATTTGGCTAATTTTTGCAAAAATATGTAAAATTTTAACAAATATAACTAAAAAATTTCCGATATCTAGGTTATTTAGAATATTTTTGCTATTTTTTATAAAATTATAGCTAAATATAACTAATATTTTTGGATATATAATTTTATTTTCGGTTTTCGGATATCCTTTCGGTTTTCGGTTCGGATCGGGTTCGGTTCGGATAATTTGGATAGGAGAATTCATTATCCGTTCGGGTTCGGAGCCGGATTTTTCGGATCGGTTTCGGATCGGTTTTCGGATTTAGGATTTTATGCCCAGGCCTAAGCTTAATTATCGTTCTACCTAGCCACTGATATGCAATTAAAAAAAATCGAAATCCTAATAAAATATAAAATAACGAGAACAGGTTAATGGTAAACAAAAAATATAAGATTACATGTCCATGGCATGTATTCAACCATTTAGTGGCCTAAAACTGAATTTCAAAAAATATATTTGTATCTAAATATCAAAAACACACCAAACAATCTAACGAATATAAATGGGATATATGCAAGCTTAGCTCAATCTCTGCCCAAAGCTGCACCCTTTCAGCCTGAAAGTTTGAAGTGTCAACAGAGTCAACAAAACTCTGCTTCCAGTTCAAACAAAGACAGTCAACAAATCTCAGCCAAAGTCAACAGAATCAAAGACTCCAACTCATACAGAGGCTTTGATGAAAACAAAAGACTGCAACAATAGGAAGCTCACCACGAAGCTTCCTTCTCCTCAACGGTACTCGACAACACCACGTGCCAAGATCTCTTCACGTGATCCAATGCCTTTGCAGAATCGATTTGATATTTTGAGTGATAGAGATTGAGCAATATGTCCAGTGTTTACCCTAAAGTCTCTCTTGTGTTTTCTAGTATAAATAGCAAACTCTTTGTAATCACAACTTAAGAATGAGAATTGCATTTTGAGGCTTATCTCTCTTCAAGCTTTCATTAAGTTAACATGGTATAAGAGCTCTAGGGTTCTTAAATCCTGAGCCATGGAAGCCACTGTTAATGCTTCCTCATTAACCATTTCTCAAGTTGTTACTCTAAAGCTCACTCCCACAAATTACTTACTATGGAAGAGCCAGTTCGAGTCTTTCCTTTCTTCTCAGATGCTGCTTGGGTTTGTCATCGGAGCCTCTCAATGTCCACCAGCCACAGTCATGGTGAATAGTCCTGACGGACCATCGAAAGCTGCAAATCCAGACTTTCTGAAATGGGTTAGTACAGATCAACTCGTTAAAGCTTGGATCTTTGGTACTCTCACTGAAGCTACTCTTAAGGTTGTGTATGGCCTTCACTCTGCTCAAGAGGTATGGTTTGGTTTAGCTAAGCGTTATAATAGAGTCTCTAATACTAGAAAGTATAACCTTCAAAAACGCTTGCAAAACTGTGGTAAAGTTGGAAAAACCATGGAAGATTACTTGAGTGATGTTCAGTCTGTCTGTGATCAGAACAAGAGAAAATCTATGGGGTTCTTAAGAATCTAGGAAAGGAGTATGAATCTATCACTACTGTGATAGAAAACTCTCTTGATGTGTATCCTGGTCCCAGTTTTGATGATGTGGTCTATAGCTCATAGCTTTTGAGGATAAGCTTAATGCTTATGCAAATGCTTCCATGGAGGTTACTCCTCACATGGCCTTTCACACTGAGCAAGTCTACTACACTAATGGCGGCTATAACGGAAGAGGTGGTCAAAGTGGTCGTGGTGGTAGATCTAATGGCTCACGGGGGAGAGGTTTTTACTCCACCAGAGGTCGTGGCTTCAGTCAACAGTTTGGGTCTCAGAATCAACAAAACAGTAGCAATGGGAACAAACCAACTTGCCAAATCTGTGGGAAATATGGTCACTCTGCTTTTAAATGCTACAAACGTTTTGAAGAAAACTTTCAACCAGATTTTCCTCAGGCCATGGCTGCTCTGCGTCTTACTGATCATAATCCTGCTCCTGGTCAAGAATGGATTCCGGATTCTGCTGCAACTGCGCATATCACTCACTCTCAGCAAAATCTCCATTCTTCTCAGCCTTATGAGGGTTCTGACTCTGTCATCGTTGGAATGGTGACTTCTTGCCTAGTACTCTTCCCCTTGAGGATGTTTTAGTCTGCCCTCAAATTGCTAAGAATCTTCTCTCTGTGTCTAAACTTACTGCTGACTATCCTTGTTCATTTAAATTTGACAATGATGGTGTGCGTGTGAAGGACAAACGCACCAAGCAGCTCCTCACGCAGGGAAGCAAGCTTGATTGGCTGTACCGGTTGGAGAACCCACAGTTTTTAGTCTTTTACTCAAATAGACAGCAAGCAGCAAGTGATGATACCTGGCATAGAAGACTTGGTCATCCTCATGTTGATGTTCTCCTCCAGTTATCTAGATCTAAGTCTATAGTTGTAAATAAGACAACTTCCAGTTTGTGTGAAGCTTGTCAATTGGGAAAAACCTGCAGAATGCCTTTTGTTGCTTCTGATTTTCAGTCTTCAAAACCTTTAGAGAGAATACATTGTGACTTGTGGGGTCCTGCTCCTGTTATGTCTTCTCAGGGTTTCACCTATTATGTCATTTTCATTGACAATTTCTCTCGATTTACTTGGTTTTATCCTCTCAAAGCTAAATCAGAGTTTTACCAAATCTTCATTCTGTTTCAGAAACTGGTTGAAAACTTATTTTCTCAGAAAATTTGTTACTTTCAATGTGATGGTGGGGGAGAATTCATAAGTAACAAGTTTGTCTCTCACTTAGCTTCATGCGGTATTAAACAGTTAATCTCCTGTCCTTACACTCTGCAACAAAACGGTATTGCAGAGTGTAAGCATCTATATATTACTGAGTTGGGTTTGTCCATGATGTTCCAAGCCAAAGTTCCAGCAAAGATGTGGGTTGAATCCTTTTTCACTGCAACTTTCTTTGGTAATCTGCTTCCTTCCTCAGTGTTGCCTGACAAGAAGAGTCCTTATGAAGTTTTGACAAACAAGGCTCCTATTTACACCTCTCTCCGAGTGTTTGGTTGTTCTTGTTATCCTTACCTAAGAGCTTACAGTCATAATAAATTCGATCCAAAGAGTCTACATTGTGTGTTTTTGGGTTACAATGAGAAATATAAGGGTTACCGCTGTTATTATCCTCCTACTGGTAAAGTCTACATCTGCAGACATGTGTTGTTTGATGAGGCTAAGTTTCCTTATGCAGACACCTATTCAACTTATTCTCTTCAGAAGGATACTCCTATAATGAATGCTTGGTTGCTTAGCAGTCCATCAGAAAATGCTGAGTCTTCTGCTCTGCAACAGCCCTCTGGTTTGCAACAGTCTTCTGATACTTTACATGACTTTACTTCTACAACAACGGTTTCTACTCAACACCAGGATCATGCACCTAAAACTACACCAACTGATGACTTCACACAACTTATAGAGTCAAATGATACTCCTGCGGAGTTAACAGAATCAAATGAAACAGCTTCAGGCTTGACTACTCCTGCTTCTCCTACTCAGTCTGACTCCTCCATCTTCAGTACAGAGGATTTTCCACCACTACAGCCTTCTCCTCAGTCAACAATCATCCAATGACTACGAGAAGTAAAGCTGGTATAGTCAAACCAAATCCAAAGTATGCTTTGCATACAGTTAGATCAAATTATCCAGAACCAACGACTGTGTCTTCTGCTCTCAAGGATCCAGGTTGGCACAATGCTATGGATGAAGAGGTAGACAATTTTAAAGAAACAAAGACTTTCTCTCTTGCTCCACCTGATGAATCCATGAATTTGTTGGGTTGTAAATGGGTTTTCAGGACAAAGCTTCAGTCTGATGGGTCTTTGGATAAACTAAAGGCACGACTGGTTGCAAAAGGGTTTCTTCAAGAAGAAGGTGTGGATTTTGTTGAAACATACATCCCTGTGGTTCGAACAGTAACAGTGAGAACAATTATTCACACTGCAACGATACACAAATGGGATATGAAACAGTTAGATGTCAAAAATGCCTTCTTACACGGTGATCTCAAAGAACCAGTTTATATGACTCAGCCTCCAGGATATGTGGATCCTCAACGGCCTGATTTTGTATGCAAACTTCATAAGGCTATTTACGGTTTAAAGCAGGCGCCGAGAGCTTGGTTTGACAAGTTTAGTAACTTTCTCTTGAATTTTGGGTTCATTTGCAGTTTTCCGGATCCTTCTTTGTTTGTGTATCTCAAGGACAACAATGTCATCTTCCTCCTTCTTTATGTTGATGATATGCTTCTCACTGGTAACAATTCAGACTTGATCATAACTCTGCTCTCCAGCTTAAACAGTGAATTCAGAATAAAAGATCTTGGTCCACTTCACTATTTTCTAGGTATTCAGGCTCACCATCATTCAAAGGGTGTGTTTCTCAACCAGGAAAAGTATGCAACTGATCTTCTTATTAATGCAGGAATGGCTGACTGTGCTCCTATGCCAACACCACTTCCTTTGCAGCTTGACAGAATTCCAAATCAAGACATCCCTTTTTCAGATCCTACTCATTTTCGGAGTCTAGCTGGTAAACTTCAGTACTTGGCGCTTACTCGACCTGATCTCCAATTCTTTGTAAACTATGTTTGCCAGAAAATGCATGCTCCCTCTGAGTCAGATTATGCTCTTTTAAAGAGAATTATGTGCTATGTGAAAGGAACTATTACCATGGGACTCAATATCTCCTCTGAAACAGACTCTACTCTACGTGCCTATAGTGACAGTGATTTTTCTGGATGTCCGGAGACTAGTCGCTCAACAGGAGAATTTTGCACCTTCCTTGGATCAAATCTCATCTCTTGGTCCTCTAAAAAGCATCCTACAATCTCCCGGTCATCGACAGAAGCAGAATACCGGTCTATGTCCTTTGCAGCTCAAGAATTGACTTGGTTACAAAATTTGCTGGAAGTTGTTGGTCTTTCGCAATCTTCTCCTGCAGAGTTATACTGTGATAACCTCTCTGCTAACTAAAAATCTGATTTGTAATTAGGCGTGGTATGCGTCACTATGCGAGAATAATTGCGGAGAGCTTCGGTGGCAAACCTCAGCCATGGCTCCTCGACAGAATGATGGCTGGTGCTCTAGAGAGTATTTATTACTTTGTCAACGGAGCCAATGCAATCAACAAGCGTACAGTAGTTCATAGGGTCATCGATAACCCATCAATCACAGTTTCAAACCACAAATACCTCGATGATGAGGAAGAGGAAGAATAAGCTTAAGGAGAAGCTGAAGGAGAGGGATTGTAATAGGGAGCTTTAAGACTTTACTAAACTCTGTTTTTGTGTCTTTACCTTGCATCCTTTTTGAAACTCCAAGGTTTTGGTTTTGTCTAATGAATCTGTGTCTTAATGTGACACCCCTTTTGAAACTAAGTTGGTTTTGTCGGTTTGGTCATGTCTCTCTTATGAATCATGGCTTCTTCTTCTTAGCATTCCAATGATTGTATTTTCCATTTTTTTTTTAGATTGTTTGGCACCTTTCTCTCTTTTTGTTGACACTTGACAAGGGATGGTGAGGATACTAAGCAGACCACTGCTGATATGACTTGATGGTGGGGTTTTTTGCCTTTTTATACCTCTTCTTAGGCCTTGGAATTATGGCTTCAGTAGTTAGACTCTGATTATATTTTGTATCGTTGTGTGTTTCCCCAAACCAGGTTCCACACAAGGTCGGACTCCATCATCAAAAGGTATATCCTTAATACCGATATGTGGTTTTGATTTATACGTTCGTTTCCCTATTAGAGTAGTAATCATGATCCCTGATAGTTGATGCTTTGTGCATTAATTGATAGAACTTTGGTACTAGGAATTGACAATAATCTCATGCCACCTTAACATCTCTTGTCTTTTTTCCAGTTTTAAGTGTTTTTGAGAGTCTAAATGTGTATTCTATAGATGATATCGCAGGGTTTGTCAAGTTTCTCTTATATGCTTACTTGTTCTTCTTTATGTTCACCATTGCCACCAATATCGACATTGAAGCGAATCGCTAAAGTTCTTTTCTCAGCAACTTTGTGTTCATGACTTATATGCATACTACTTGTTCACTAAAAGCATTTCTGATGAGAAACTTTTTGTTCATGACTTGTATGCATATTTGTTTTTTCCCGTCATTCATGGCCAAAATTCATACTTATTTGCTATGAATCCTAGACATAATCACCACTGCCACCAAGAATTGATTCATGTTTGGAATTTACGCAAAATCGAATCACTGAATCTTGATCAGCAACTTGTTGTGTGTTCATGACATTGGTTTTTATCTGTCCCTTCACATATTTTGTAATATCCTTGACTTTGATGGTTCACTTGATGGCATGGGAGGCAGAATCAGTGTGCTGGAGTGAAAAGCCAAGATGGGAGTAGAAGGCACTCCTTCTCCAGTCTCCAAATCATGCAATGAACCCGAAACACCGGCTAGTTCGACTTAAAAAGGTGGGTGTTCACCAATTATCAAATGCTTGACATGTCATGATCTTTTTGCTTGCAAACAACATCTGCAGAGGAAAACAAAACATTTTCCTCTTTTTCAGTCTTTTGCATTGCTTCATTTCCCTTTAGAAACTTGATACATTGTTACTGTTTGAAAGTATGGCTACTTTTATTTTAAGCTTCAACAATTTGTTTGGGTTTAGGAAACAAAAACATTGCACTTTTTTCCCTGATATTATGTAAAAATGGTGTGGCTACAAAAAAAAATTGTTTCTTTAGTTCACGATCTTACATGTACGTATGTGGTTGACTGATTATCTATCTTTGATTTTAATAACCCTGCAACGATATGATGGTCACACAAATAAACAACGATATGTTTATTCAAGAAACAAAGATTAAGCCTTGTTCTTTCTAGCTATTTGTCGTCGAATTTGCGTCATTGTTTACTTTTACTAGAATAGGAAGAGGAACCGAATATGTTTCATGAGATTCGTTAAAGAGGAAAAATTATAACATGTGAAGGTAGAAAGCGAGAAGTAACGATTCGTCTTTGGCTCTATTCAATGTTTACTTTAGGGTCTGAATTTGCTAGTCTGTAAAATTGCATAGGTGACAGACATGTATTGTCATTGCTGCTCATCATTTACTCTTCCATCATTGTTGACATGTTTTGTCCCCAGACTTTAGTGTCAAGAGTAACAATCGTTTTCTTGAGTCATAGACGACAAAAAAAAAAAAACAGTAATCAAGAACTAAGACCATCTCCAATGGTAAGACTCCCATGATGAGTCTTACCAATTTTTTAGTTTTAAATTTTGGAGATTTAAAAGTTAAGATACCCAAACTAAGTCTTAACAAATAATACTATGTCCAATAGTAAGACACTTTTCATGGATCTTAATTTTTTTTTTTTTTGAAAATAATGTTTGGTTAAAATGTAAGTAATCTGGTGTGTTATATCATGTGTTAAATGGGACAAAGTGTTATCATGTGTAAGACTTAGTGTCTAAAACAAAGATATATAATAGATTCAAAAATGAGAGAAAGTGTGATCAATGTGTTAAATGCAAAACAGAGATTTATTGGTGTTTTTTTTTTTTGAACAAGATTTATTGGTGTTTATGTAATACAAATACAAATGAAATTTCTGTCATCTTCTTCTTCAAGAAGACCATCCTCGTCTTCTTCCATTGATCATTGGAGAATTGCTGCATCGTCTTCTTCCATTGATCATCCTGTTCTTCTTTTTCCACTAAACAACCATAATTAAAATTATGAAAATCAACAAAAATGAAACGTACGAACTTATGCAAGAAGGTGATGTGCCTTTAGTCAAGTGGTTAAGTCCATTTGACTCCACTTTCCCCACTGGAGTTCGACTCCACTAAATCGCATTACTCCGCGTAGTAGGGATTGGCTATGGATAGAGCCTTGTCGATCCAAATATGTCAAAAATATAAAAACTTATGCAAGAAAATCACACGAGTGAAATATAAAGGAACAAATTTAGGTCTCCAAATACATAATGTTTTCAATGTCATCCTGCCAAAGAGCCATTTGCATACTGAATCCAAAAAACCCAAGACGCGATAGTGGACTTATTTCGGATCTTCTTATTATTTTGTTAGTCTCCAAATCGTAATGAATAAAGGGTCTCGGTTCAGTCGGTATGACCATTGTCTTTACAAACATAACAAGACAGCGGTGATTCATGCCTACCATGCTAAACTCATCACCATGAACAAAATTCATAAGGGAAAGGGGCAAGACCAGAGTCTTCTTTGACCACTTCCCCACATCCTCCATAACCCACAGGTCGACGCTCCCATTAGAAGGAAGCCGGGAACACTCAAAAACAGCTAATTTGCCTCCGTAATTCATGAGACTAGCGCAAGTAGCATGCCAGATGATGCCAGCCTCAATGGGTAATTCAATCATATTGAAATCCTCAGAAGCCGAGTCAAAACTAATGACCACAGATACGTTCTTATCAATCCAAGCTGCATAATACAAAACATCAACATCGTTAAGGGGTATGCCTCTGGAGTAAGGACGATGGGGATAAATGCGGCCTTGAGTGTTGCGCCAAGAAGCCCCAGGACCAAGAACCAACACTTGATGCTCAGATCTCACTACTCTCCCCTCATCCTCGCTCACCTCCCAAACTGTGCTAAGAACTTTGTATTCATCGTGAACAGGGTCGTGCAAAAAGGAGTTCCAAATATTGTCATTAGCTTCAGTCACAAGTCTTGATCTTATGATAGGCAAGGTCACGCGCTGCCTGGTGGTGAGGTTAAAGATTCGCAAACTTCTCCGAAGTCTGACACAAATCAAGCCCCTAAGAGGGTTCACAAAGTCGCCTCCCAATCCCGGCATGTTCAGAACTTGGTCGAGAACACAAACAGACGTATCCGAGAGATCATCATGAGTCGATGAAGATGAGAGGAATTTATACTGGCGCTTGTCTGCCTTGTCCACAAGAGACATGAGCATGCGTGGTCGTTTAGCCGATGCTGGGGATTCAAGGAAAAGTTTTGTAAAATAACGGGAGGCGATGAGTGAATACCAGAGCTGTGAGACGCCCATTAACCTCGTCACATGTTTCGCCGGCAGTTTCGCCAGGATCTTCATCAACAGATCTTCAGGGATATCGTCAAAGCTGATGGGTTTCGAATCGGGCTTGACCATGGCTCTTCTTCTTCTTTCGAAATCGTCTGCCTTCGACCTTACCTTCTTCTTCTTCTTCTTCTTCCTCAGACCTTTCACGGCGGCGAGAAGGAAAGAAAATCGTCCCATAGCTTTTGCTAGATCTGTTTCAGAGCCGCCGTGTTTATTTTTACTGTTGTTGATTCCAAAGCACCGCAGACCACAAGTACAGCAGTTAGATATATCTCTTTACTTGTTTAATTCATTTACCCAAAATAAGTAGAAAATCTGAGCATTTACTTTTTTTTTTTTTCTTTTCTTTTTCGGGTAATTTTTTTCTCTTACGATTTTACAATTACGGAGCGATTTCTATTTTTTTTTTTCTCTCCGGAAGGAAATACTCCATATGCTTGTTTTTTGTTTTTGTTTTTTTTCTCTTGTTTATTCCAAAGCACTCCAGACTACAAGTACAAACTGTTAGCATCTCTTTACTAATACAAATCATTTACCGAAAGTAAATAGAATTTTATGCATTTAATTTTTTTTCTTTTCTTTTTCCGGTAACTATTTTCTCTAACAATTACAATTACGAAGTATTTTTATTTCTTTCTCAAAGAAAAAACTCCATACTTTTGTCTTTCTTTTTCCCCTCATTCTTGTGAATTACCAAATTCCAAAATCATGAATATTATTAAGCCAATTAAGATTACAAAAAGGTGTTATTTGCTGCTGTCTAACATCAGAGGGTCTTAACAAGCGGAGTAATAATAACAATTTCAATAAATATTTATAAAACGTTAAAATCCTATATTTATGGTAAAGAATTTATTATTTTGAAAATACGGAGAACCCACATTTATAGAAAATATTCTATAGAATAGTTTCATTTATCAAAAAATTCAATAAAATCTTTACTTACAAATATATCTTCCCAAAATTTTAGCAAATATTAAATTTTATACTGTAAGCTAAACGCTTTAACCTATGGACAATACTCTAAACTTCTCCCTATATAAACTGATCAATTTTCTCATTCATCACCATAAACAAACACTTTGATTTTTTTATTCCAAAGCAAAACAAAAATCATTTTCGTGTTACTGTTCTTTTAAACAATTAATTGTTACCTAATGTTTTGTATGTTACAGCTTACACTAAAAGATTAGTTTTTAGTACTTCTTATCATTTGATATTTGATTTTTGTTTCAAATGTCCAGTTTCTTTTGCAAACGTTTTCATGTTTCGTCTCCACATTCTTAATGTTTGTA